GGAGCATAAACGCTGTGATTGCGGCGCCCAGCACCGCAGTGCAGCCCGCGACGCCCCAGCCCGCCGCCAGGATGATGTGCGGCGCGCCCTCCGCCACGCAGCCGGCCACGGCCGAGACGCAGGAGCTCGCGGACGCGGTGAGACGCCGGCCCCCGGGGATCGGGGTGCGAGGCGCGGTCCTGGGCGCGGGGACCCTCCGTCGCTCCAACTGTTGTCTCCGGAGTGATGAGCAGAGCTCGCCTCCCGGTGCCTCGCGTTCCCCGCAGCCGGAGTCCTCGGGGCCCCGGGAGCGCGCCGGCCAGCGCGGGACCCCTCTCCGCAGGGCGGGGCTCGGTGAGGAGAGGACAGGCGGGCCGCCTCCCGCCCTCCCTGCCAGCCGCGCCTCCCACGCCCCCGTGGTCCGCCGGCGTCGCCAGCGCCGGTGGTGTGGGCCGTGCCAGCGCTGTCAGCTGGTGACTCGGTCCCAGCGCACCAGAGCACTGCCGGGCCGCCGTGAGCCGCGGCCGGCCTTACCCCTTCCTCAGCGGGATGGGAGGGATGCTGGCTCACGGGCTGGGCAGGTGAGCAGTAGCCTTGCTCCCGGCGGAAACCATGGGGCAGGTACTGGGGACTGAACCTAGGGCCTTTGCACTGAGTTATGTCCTCAGCCCTTGTGTTTTTACTTTGAGACTTTGAGTTTTGCTGTATCAACAGGTTGTCCAGCCTGGGCTCAGTTTTTTTTTTTTTTTTTTTTTGGGGGGGTCTTTTTGAGAGAGGGTTTACTATGCCATTCAGGCTGGTCTTGAGCTCACTTTGTAGCCCAGGCTGGCCTTGAACTCGCAATGATCCTCCTGCCTCAGCCTCCTGAGTGCTGGGATTACAGGTGTGCGCCACCACACCTCGCTCCTGGGCTCAAATGTGCAGTCTCCCTGCCTGCCCAAGCCTCTCCGGGTGCTGGGTCACAGATGTGCATCACCAGGGTGGCATTCTTATTAACCTGCCTCAGTGTGCTCTGGCTGTAGTCCTTCTCCCACTTGCAGGTGAGGAAAATTGAGAGCAGAGCCTGACCCTGGGTGGGAGGACGGCAGGTCCTGCCTTTGGACCTGCACTTGGGGTTCCCCAGCCTGGTGGGTCCCTGTGCCTCCCAGGGCCTCCAACCCGTCTGATCCCCAAGGTCTGCTAACTCACTGACCTGTGGCCTTCCAGGAAGTCCAGCTGGTCTTGCCCCTGTTCCCAGCGTCAGCCGGGACCTGGAGGCCCACCCCCACCGGGATAGTCCGCCGTTCCTGCAGATCCGGCCTGTGATCCCGAGGGATGACCTCCCCTCTCAGCCTGGGCAGGTTTCTGAGTGTCCCTCACCCAGCGGCTCCACTGCTGTGGCCCACAGCATGCTGTCCCTGGAGGCACCGCACCCCCCTGAACTGAGACGGGCCACAGGAGCTTGTGTGTAGATGGCTACACACCCTCCTTCCCAGGCTCCAGCCCTCCCCACAGGGGTGCCCTTGGGTGGCGGAGTCACCCTGCCTTGGGTGACTCACTACCTGCAGCTGGTCTGCTCCTTTATTTCCAGCAAGGCAGCTGCCTCCTACTGGTGTCTGCTGACCAGAAACTCGGTCTTCCGTGAGCACCCTGGCCACTGTGGCATGGTCAGTGCCCTGGTGGCGCACTCCGATAGCAGCCACAGCACTTCGGAACTGCCTGCGTTCATTAAAAAAATTTTTTTTTCAGACAGACAGACTTACTGTTTCCTCTGTGATAAAAATAACCAGCACCTAAAAGTGAAAGACGCTAGAAAACAGAATCGAGTGAGACGCTTGTTCACTATTTTGGTTCAAATTGGATCTGCCTCCGACACGGGCAGGCTGTCCCTGCATGGTGCCCCCAGCTGCGTGGTCTGTTAGGACCAAAGCCAGGAGTGCCCCAGGTAACCATGGCAGAATAATGAAGAGAAGCCAGGTGTGTCAAGAATGTGGCAGGTGAAATTTAAATTAGATTTGAGATCTCAGTTCATGGAAAAGGTTTGGTTTCAAAAGATGTGTTAGGGAGTTGGGCGTGGTGGCACACGCCTGTAATCCCAGCACTCACGAGGCAGAGGCAGGAGGATCCTTGTGAGTCCGAGGACAGCCTGGGCTACAAAGTGAGTTCAAGACCAGCTTGAACTGCATAGCAAGACCTTGCCTCAAAAAGACCAAAAACGGAGGCGGGCATGGCGGCGCATGCGTGTAATCCCAGCACTCGGGAGGCTGAGGCAGGAGGATCGTTGCGAGTTCAAGGCCAGCCTAGGCTACAAAGTGAGCTCAAGGCCGGCCTGAACTGCATAGCGAGGCCCTGTCTCAGAAAGACTAAAAAGATGAGTGAGGGCTGAGGGCAGCGCAGTGGTAGAATGTGCTTAGCACGCCTGGGCCCGGGCTGCAGTCCTCAGCACCGACAAATAGATAAAAAGTTGGTTAAAAACGACACACCGTCTGTCTGTTGGAATGTTTGCATATGAAGTGAAAAAGCAATTGGTGTGAACTTGCGTGTCGTACTATAACGCAGTGGTAAAAATACTGAAGTGTCCTGCACCCCACAAAAGGGCAAGGGCGTTCTGAGCAAGCGTCAGAACTTTGCAGCTCAGAAGGAACTGGCTTCTTCCGCTTTGTCGGAGGGGCTGAGGCTCAGCCCGCCCCTCTGCTGTGAGGCGTGCAGCGTCACGGTGGCTCTGGGTGTCGTTTGTGGGGACCTGCTTAGCCCTTCCCTCCCCCCAGGTGCGGGCCCAGCTCGAAGAGAAGGAGAACCAGAAGTTCTCAGTGTTCAAGGCCGTGGCCTTCAGGTGCCAGGTGGTGGCCGGGACCAACTACTTCATCAAGGTGGGTGCGGCCTCAGGGTGGTCTCGGGGACTGAGTGCTGCTTGGGGTCCCAGGGCTTCCCGGCTTCAGGGGTTCACAGCTCCCTGGACATGTGGGTGCAAGGGCGAGTGTACCCTGGCCCCTCCAGAGGAGGGTGGCAGGAGGTTCTGAGTGCAGTCAGGGTCCCTGTCCTCGGCCGGGTGGCTGTGATCTGCGCGGGATGGGGACGGCCCTCTCCTCACCGTCTCCCCTCTCCAGGTGGACACTGGGGACGAGAACTTCCTGCATTTGCGGGTGTTCAAGAGCCTCCCGCATGAGAACAAGCCCCTGGTCCTGGCCGGCTACCAGACCAGCAAGTCCAGGCACGACGAGCTGGCCTACTTCTAGCCCTATGCCTCTGCCACCCTCTGTCATCTGCAAGCCTGTGTTCGGGACCACGGCGTAAATCGTCCTGTTGGGCCGCTCAGCCGCGTGGAGCAGCTTCTCACACTGTGGCTCCAGAATGTCTTTGTGTGATTTTCCCTCCCAACGAGTGATCGTAACTGTTTCCAAGAGGCCTCTATGTGATCTACCTTTAAAGGTCTATTTTTGAAGTCTTTACTGATGGTTCCTTGTCTTGGGTGTTTTTCTTCATCTGAAACCACGTCGGCAGGGAAAGCGTGACTGGTGTGGACAAAGCTGTGTCCCTGCTGGTGTGACAGAGCTGCCAGGCCTGGGTGTCTGCCCCAAGTCACGGCAGGCCGGGGGCGGGGGAACCAGACTGGCCCTAGGCACTGTCCCCGAGGCTCAGTCTCCTCATACAGTGAAGGTTTCCAGTATATCAGCTGGATGCAAGCTGTCCATCTGCTTGGCCACACTTGCACTGTCTGAGCTCGGTTGGGTTGAGAGGTATGTGTATGGGGGCAAGGAAGGGCACAGGACCCACGCATTCCTAAAGGGAGGCATTTTTTTTTTTAATTGGTCTTTCTGAGACAGGGTTTCACTGTGTAGTTCAGGCTGGTGTTCAACACACTGTGTAGCCCAGACTGGCCTCAAACTGGCAGTGATCCTCCTGCCTCAGCCTGCTGAGTACTGGGATTACAGTTGTGCACTACCATGCCCAGCCAAGGGAGGCATCTTGGGATGAGTGTGTCCACCCTAACCCTGCAGAGGTTTCAACAGAGGCCATTCTGAGGGGAATGGTTGGCCACTGGGCGAGCTGCGCCTCGTGTCACAAGGGTGCAAATGGGTGATGTTTCTCTGCTTCAGGGTCATGTGACAGCCATCATGAGGCTGGTGAGGTGCACGGAGCAGGGAGCGGAGCAGGGACCTCTAAGTGATGGGCTAGTTGTCATTGTTTCTGAACTCGAGGAAGGACCGGGCTGGGTGCAGCCGTGTAGCACTCCCTAGCACATAGGAGGCCCTGGGTTTGAACCCTGCACTAAAAAAGAAAAATAAAACCTGGTCTGTTTCCTATGACCAAGTCCAGTGAAGGCAGGGGCAGGTGCCATGTAGATTTAGGAAGGGCCACAGCCTGTGCCCAGCAAGAGCAGAGCACACGGCTGGGCTGGCTGGGGAGCCCGCCTGGGCTTGGGGTCAGGAGCCACAGTGCACAGGTCAGAACAGCATGCCTCGGACAGGGAGGAAGCTGCTGTTGGCCCCAGTCCGGCTCAGGTACAAGTGGACAGAGGGCCCAGGCCGCCGCCAGCAAGCCGCGATCCCTGTGCCCCCTGGCTTCCTGGAGAAGCACGAGAAGCACTGTGGGCACCTGCCGCGTCCCTCCCCTGCTCAGATGTCTGTGGTTACGCTTGGTGGCCGACACCTGTAAATCCAGCACTCTGGGAAGATGAGGCAGGAGGATCACAAGTTCTAGCCCTTCCTCGGCATCTTAGAGACTTAGTGAAACTGTCTCTAAAATAGATAGGGCTGGGGATGGAGCTCACTGTGAGGGCCAGGGTTCAATCCCTGTATTGAAAAAAGTAGGAGGGAGAGATACTTTTTTTTTTTTTTTTTTTGAGGCAGGGTCTCACTATGCAGTGCAGGTTGGCCTTGAACTCACTATGTAGCCCAGGCTGGCCTCAGGCAATCCTCCTGCCTCAGCCTCCTGAGTGCTGGGATTACAGCTGCATGGCCTCATGCCCTGCCGTGTCGCTATTCTAGGCAACAGTAGGCTCCTCCTATATGAGGCAGAGGAACGAGGAAGGGAGAGCCTGGCCCTGCGGCGGTCTGTGTATCCGTCCATCTATCGACGGATCCACCCCAGCCTGCGGTGGCCAATCCACAAGGTGGGCAGGGTCCTCTTGGTTCTCAGAGGTGGCTGCAGGGAGGCCAGGGCCTGGTGGTACCCGAGGACCCTGGCACTGCCACGGCCCCCAGCATGCCATCTGTGCTGGCACATCGGGTGGAGGTTGTGCTCCTGACCAGCGGCACACGGGACACTTCCTTCCAGATGCTGGGGAGCGGGGTACACTGTCTCCCTGAGTCTCCGGTCCTCACAAGTGGCACAGGAAGCTGGGGAGCGGAGCAGCCTTGGTGGCTCCTTCCCGAGGGTCCCAGCCCAGGAACTGCCGTGTCCCCTGATGCCCCTGTCCCCCGTGTGCTGGCCACAGTGCGCCCTGCTGGGCCGGGCTCCGGCGAGCAGGAGGGACAGGCAAGTCGGGTCCCTCGCACAGTGTCGGCCCGGCCCAAAGCCCCTGGAGGAGCAGTGTTGGCTGTGAGTCCTGCGTCCACCCACAGGAGCTGTCCCTTCAAGGACACTTCTCACCTTGTCCCCATGGGGGCTGGGACATTAACCCTGAGTGGGTGCCAGCCAGGGGCTGGCCCAGCCCAGGCCAGGTCCTCGCTCAGGCCCCAGGAAGGGATGGCCAGCGTCACTTGTTCCCACACCGGTCGGGAGCACGGGCGTCCGCACGCTGTCCGTGCAGAGGGCTGGGCGGGGCACCAGCGAGACTCAGCGCCTGACTGGTGCTGGTGAGAAGGCAGTCACCGGGGACCCACTAGGGGCCGCCTCTGCACCCATCACAGCGAAGCTCGTGAAAAATACTGCAGGTCGGGCAGGGGCTGAGCTGAGAAAGGGCCGGAGCCAATCTCAAGAGGAAGGAAATGCAGAGAATTCAGAGCGCTTCAGTCACGCATCTCAGAAACACGGGCCTGCGGCTGTGAAGCGGGCCAGCTTGCCCCACCGCAGGACGCGGCGCTGTCCCTGCGCTGCCCGAGCGCGCGCTACTGACCCCTCCTGCGCAAAGCGAGCGTCCGCGTCTCCTTGGGAGCATCAGGGCACCTGCAGGCGGGGCGCCCGGCACCCAGCCCTGCACTGCGCCGCCCTGGTCCCCCCGGTTGGGCAGGTCAGGAGTCTGGCTCTCCAGGTCTCCCTCATGCCAGGAGCAACGTGAGCGCAGGACGCCGCTCTGCGGGGCTGAGGCTGCAGCAAGAGCGCCCAGGTGGCCCTGCAGCCTGGGCCGGCCTCCCTCTCTGCCGTGAGTACCCAGCTCCCACTGCTCGCCAGCAGGCTGGGGGAGCTAAGAGGGCTGGGGGATGGCCGGAAGGTGCCCCCCCAGCCTTCTCCTGTGTGGCCACACCCCTCAGTCCTGGCCTCCATAGAGACCTCCTCCCCAGCCTCTGCTAACAGCACCACATCAACACCGAGGCAGGAAGGGGCAGACACCAGGCCATCTGAAGCCAGTCCTCAGGCCCAAGGGTCTGGCAGAGAAGTGCTGGGGAGCGGCCCCCACCCCCGCTCAGTCCCGAGACAACCCCAGGGGACTCCTGCAGGCGGGCAGGGCAGCCCGCCTCCTTCCCCGCACGGGAAGCGTCCGATCACCTCCGCTCACCTCCGCTGGGCCTGTGCAGCACCACACGGGAGGTGGGAACAGGTGGAAAGAGATCACGGCACCGCCACACGGCTGCATGAAAATATTTATTTGTGGATAATCACAGAAGTCAACGGGACCAGCACAACACAGAGAAGGCTACACAGCAGCGCGGGAGGAGTCACACTTACAGACGCGGGCGTGGGGTGGGAGGCGGGGAGGGCAGGCGCGGAGGCTCCCTGACCCCTGACCCCGAGCCTGACTGCCGCAGCAGGGCCTGCGGCCACGTGTGCTTTGCTAGAAGGTGGAGGGGCCTCCTAAAGGACCAGCCTCCGTCCCGTTGGTCCAGTGTTGCAGGGATGGGATGGAAACAGCTAAGCCCCACCCAGGCTGTGCAGCTTGCGGGGGTGAGTGAGCCCCCTCCGTTCCCCAAGCCCACACTCAGACGCTGGGCCCAGGTGTGCTGTGGAACTCGCCCGCCCCGGCTGTGCCCCCGGGACACACCAGCAGGATCTGGCACACCGGCAGACTCCACTTCCTGTCCGGAAGCCCCAGCACACAAGCTCCTCGGCCGAGCTGAGTCCCATGTGACAACACAGCGCAGGGCCTCAGGAGCCACGGATCCAGGCAGGGACGGGTGCTGCCGCTCACCTCTGCCCCGGACCAGCTTCCGCATGGCTGCTGCAGAGCCGTGCCACTGGCCAGGTGCATGCCCCTGGCTAGGGAAGGCCTTTCCCACCCAAGGTGCTGTCCAGTTGCAAGAAGACGAGAAACAGCCGTAGGGAGCTGGGGGAGGGGAGAGGCCCGGTCACCACACGGCCTGGGGTCCTGCGCGAAGACGGCCCGCTTGGGTCAGGCAGCTGGGATCTTTTTAAACACTTTGTATCTTCAGACAATTAAAAAATAAAAACACCTCTAGGCCCTACAACTTTCATTCACCGGAGATTTCAGTTTCACTGTCAGCCCCACCTCCCGAGCAGAGAGCGCAGCGGCTGCACCACACGGCGACTGGGGTGTGAGACCCGCTGTCGCCAGGCTTTGTGCATGGAGAGCAGAGAGCAGTGCCACGAACAGAGCCCGGTGGGCAAGGGGCCCCGGTGGTGAGCAGGCAGGGCCTCCGGGGCCGAGGGGACACACCAAGGGGGTGAGGGGAGCACGCGCCGGCTCAGAGTGCAGCTTGGGGACACAGAAGAATTCACACTAAAAACCTAGACAGTCTCCCGCACACACATGGCCACAGGCACACTCAGGAGGTCCGCAAGTTCAAGGCCAGCCTGGGGGTCCCAGCAAAACATTCAGTGGGTGCTAGGGTGTAGCTCTGTGCTCCCTCGGTTCACCCTTGGTACTGCAAAAGGCAAAACAAAAACAACAAACATTTCCAAAGTCCCCAAGAAGGGCAGCAGAGGGCAAATCTACCAGGTGGGCCAGGGACCCAGCTCCGCCTCACCCACCTCTGGGCTCATGGCGCCCCCGCTGGTGGGGCCGGAAGTGCACAGCAAGAGAAACCAGAGTTAGGGAAAGACCCACGATCCTGCACCCCTCATGCCCAAGTTCAAGGTTTCCCTGGCCAGGAGCTCACGCGGGACCTGCACACCGAGGGCCCGGCCTCCTGGAGGCCGACCCACCCCCCCGCCCGCTTTCCCGGGGTCTTCCCATGCAGCTCTGTGCCGAACTCGGGGGCTCTTCTGCGTGGCAGTGGGAGGTGCCAAGGACCTCCGGGACGACACCCCGGGGGCAGAGGGAGCCCCAAGAAGCCACACCAGCGCTCTGTGCTCTCCGCCTCAAGCGCCAGCCCCTTTTTCTGGCCCCAAGGACAGGGACAGGACAGAGGCCCAGGGGAGCAGCTGGTCCCGGGATACCTCAGAGCAGCATGGATGGGGACCCAATGTCCCCAAGCAGGTAACCCTGTGAAAGGGCAGGGAGGACACGGGGAAGGGTTCCAGGAGCCAGAGTGCTGTCACCTCCTGATCCTGTGCTTTGTCCAGGAAGAGAGGACACAAGGCTGACCCAAGGCGTCAGGAGCTGCCCAGAGCCGGCAACCAAGCAGCCTCCCTCCCGAGGCCGGCCTCCCTCAGTGACAGCGAGACCCGAGCTCCGACACGGGCACTGACGGGACGGGGCGGGGTGCCCGGCACTGCAGGCCGCCCTCCGCTGCAAAGCAGCCTCTTTCACCGGGCAGTGCACAAGGCTGAGCCTGCTTGGTCCACTGTACAGTTAAGTGTTTTGAAAACTGGTTCCAACAACTTTAAGAACAGGACAGGAAACGAAGCGTCCTGCTTGCAATCACTGACCGAGACTAAAAGTGGAAAAGCATCGGTTGAGGCGCAGTTACCTGGGCAGGATGAGGCGATGATTTAAAATTGATTAAAAAAGACCATATTCATTAGTTCCTTCCTACGGTCTGGATTAAGAAAGTATTAAAATCCTGTCTCCTAAGAATAAGCAGGCAACAGGGGCTGAGAGAGCTCTCATTTCAAGATAAGTTATACTCTTTTGTGTGTCACCATGGACAGTAAAAGCAAAGGATGATTCTGATCTGGATCCAAGCTGTGTCCACAACCACTATCAGCGCCCGCGGCCTCCTGGGTGGCAAACTGCGTGTGGACCCCACACTGTCCTGTGGAAACAAGCCCGAGGGAGTCCAGGGGAGCCGGGACCTCAGCGCTGCCATGTGAAAGAGCCCACAGGCAGAGCGGGACGGGGACAGGTGGACGCCGCTTCTAAGGGAGTGCACGCCTGAGTTCCGCCCATCTTCTGGGTGTGGTGCTGGGCAGGGCTGCCCATGGGGCTGCACTCCCGTCCCTAACACTGTTCCTGCCCAGGTCCCTGGCTCTCAGAGGCTCGGAGACCCAAGCTGTCCTCTGAGGCCTGAGTCCCTCCTGCTCCGTCTTCCAGGACACACAGCCAAGGAAATCAGCAGCTTCCGGCAGAGCCCGAGTTCACGGCTCCACCTGAAGCTCTCGAGAGGGGAACTTGTCCTCTGTGTGTGACATGGGAACAAGGCTTAAGAGACCTGGCATCAGACAGGGCCCTGCCCTCAGGGACCAGTACATCGCGCCTGTCCCCACACCTACTGTGTGCCCCCAGGACGGTGCCACAGTCACTCTCTGTGCGCAAAGAGAGGAAAAGAGGAAGAGGGAGGACGACAGATAGCAGAAAGAACAAGAGGGACAGAGGGGCGCTGCTGCCCCGCCCTGCCCGGCACCCGGCCCGCCTTCCCCTCCCCAGCTGCTCCTCCGTCCCAGGCTCAGAGGGAATCACCTGTGCACGCTGGGGCCGAGGGCCTGGCCAGGGAGCACTGCTGTGGCCCTGACTGGCGTGCGGCAAGCTCCAGAGCCCCATCCCCAGCAAGGGAGGCCCAGGACGCGGAGCAGGGACCTGGGCACCTGCTGGCCCCACTGGCCCCACTGCTCTGCAGGTGGGCGCTCCCAGGAGAGCAACCTTTGCACCTCACACACAGCCGTGCCCTGGTGACTGCGACTGGGACAGGGACACGGCTGGAGCTGGCTCCAGCGCGGGAGGGAGACAGGGCAAGGTCTCAGCAGTCATCGGGAGCAGGTGCCACCTGTCCCGTCCCTGCCGGTGCACACTCCATCCTGCTCAGTGCTCTGTCACCAGCAGTGTGTGACAGGCACGGTGCCCGCCGGCCTGCACCCAAGTTCCCCCAGGCAGCCCAGTGTGGGGGCCTCCCCGGCTGCCCTCATCACATCAGCACGTCCCTCTCGGTGCAGGCAGGTCCCTACAAGTTGCTCCCCAGTCACACGAAGTCCCGCTGCATCCTGTGAGGTCTGCAGACCGATGGGACGCGGGGCTCCAGAAAGGCCCCATGGTGGTGATCACACCTTGGTGCACCTGAGCGTGCAGACCGGAAGCTCCTGCATGGTCCAGCGGCTGCATACTGGGGGACCTCCAACACCCAAGGGGCAGCAGATGACGACACGGACTCTAACGCAGGAACACAGAGGCGGAGACCAGGGCGACAGCACAGGGGTTGGCGTGATCCTTCCAGACGCCGCTTGACATCAGAGGTCACCCGGCAGCCTGTGTGGGAGGGCTCTGTGCGGCCACGGCAGCCAGTGGCCCCATGCCAGGGTCTGCAGGGCAGCGGGCCAGCCACTGCCACCAGGGGCCACCACCCACGCAGGACACCTGAGCCTGGGGCCTGGGGAGGGCCCGCGTCACGTCACCACGTTCCAGGCTGCCTTGTGCTTCTGTAGCAGGGACGACTGGCACGTTTTCACGACAGAGACGGGCGACACCCGGCACTCACGAGGGGACGAATGTTGGGCTTCGGTCAGGCTCTAAGGCAGACGTTACAGGTTTCACAGGGACGAGACGGAGACACCAGGCTGTGGGTGTCGGGCAGGCGTGCGCACGCACAGCCCTCACAGCACGGTGGCCTGGACGACGATCTCGGGGTCCTCAATGTCCTTCTTGCTCTGGACCATCCTCAGCTCTAGCTGGGCCGGGCTGGGCTTCCGTCCTTCCCCAGCCTGGGCTGCAGAACAACGAGGGGGGTCCAAGGCCCTGAGACGAGTCCCCTCCCAGCTTCCCACAGCACCAGGGCTCCACTCCGCAGCCGTGTGGGCCGCCTCCTCCCTCCCGCCTGTCCCCAGGCTGAGTGCGGCACGGGTACCTTGGGCACACCGGATGGTCCTCTGCAGAACGTGGTGCATGGCTGACACAGTCTTCTCACAGGCCACCTGCAGGGACGAGATGCCGCGCTGGCCACTGTATGCCCCTCCTGCCTGATGCCCCGAGTCACCAGGGAGTGGCTCCCACCAGTCAGGATCAGGCAGGGATGCCACCTGTGGGCGTCCAGCAGGACGTGGCTGGGGGAGCGGCACTGTGGGTGGGCGGGGTCCCCAGGCAGGCAGGCAGGCCCTGGGCTCTGTGTGCGAGGACCTCAAAGGAGACACAGGTGCTGCTCCCTCCTCTCCCTCTTTGCCTCAGTTGGCCATCGCGGGTCCCACCATGGTGCTATCACTGGCCCAGAAGCAACGGGGCCGACCCAGCGGGGATGGAACCCACGCTGTGAGCTGAGCACCTTGCCTCTGTTTGCACCTTCGACCTCTGGGAGTTCCCTTTTGTTTCTGTTTTTTTGAGACAGGGTCTCACTATGTAGCCCAGGCTGGCGTCAAACTTCTGGTGATCCTCCTGCCTCAGCTTCCTAGGTGCTGGGATTACAGGCGTGCGCCACCACACCTGGCAACCTCAGGGATTTTATAACGGTGATGGAAAACGATTCACATGGTGCAAGCTATGTCATCTACTTCCTGTGGCCGTGAGGCACTGGGTGGGAAGGGGCTGTGCCTCAGGCCTCTGCGACACTGTCTGGTGAGCAGCGGGTGCACACCCAGGATTCTGGAGTCAGTCAGTTCTAAAGTCTACAGGGGAAAGTGCTCCTGCCTGAATGTGATGTCAAGATCAAAGGCCTGGCAGCCCTATAAGACTCAGCCTGACCCCACACCCTGGACTGGCTGGGCTGGGGACCTGGCCTCGTCTGGATGCCAGCTGGCAAGTTTCCTGCTGCTGCCAATCGCATCGGCGGGCCTAGCTCAGTGCTGCCGTCTAGGACAGCGGCAGGACGAACAGCAAGAGGGCTCGGTCTGGCCAAGAGCTCAGGGCTTGCCTGGGGCTGGTCACGGGCAGGCCACCATCCACCTCTTCACAGCCAAGGAGCCAAAGAGCTGCCAGCGGACCTGCTGGGGGGAGTGCGGCCAGGCCTGGGACACGGTGTCCAGCAGGGCTAGTGTCTCGTGAGCCCACCTGCAGACCCACGCTCCCAGCCCTCCTCCCTGAGTGTTCCCACAGTGATGGAAGTGTCAGACCCTTCTCCTCCTCTCCCCAGTCTAAGGGGCAGCACCCTCCCCACTGGCAAAGGACAAGGCCAGCGCCAGTGCGCCGACGGCTGTCCAAGTCTGCTTCCGGTAATTACTCCCTCGGCAGCACCGGGGCTTGGTGCCGGGTGCCCTCTCTCGCTGGGCGCCCTCCACCCCCTTGTCTCCACAGCACTGAGGGACGCACAACTGCTGGCCGTGGTACTGGACAGAACCGGTCTGAGCAATGCACACAACGCAGCTTCCCGCAGTGGTGCAGGAGAGCAGAGAACCAGAGACAGCGCCGGACTCAAATGCCCCGACCCCGCTGAACTACTCGCCTAACTGCAAGGCGCACAGGAAGCCCAGAGCCCAGCCCGACACCCGGATCGCCACAGAGGCCACTCTGTCCAGCGCCTCTGCGCGAGGACAGAGCAGGGGGACACGCAGACCGCTGTGCACGGCTGTCCATGAGAGTCCCTCAACCTGGCTGGCCCAGCCCCTGGGGCCTCCTGCATGCCCAAAGCTCAGAGCCACAGCACTGGGACCGTGCTGCCCTCTGTGGGCGGGGCCAGGCCTCCAGTGTGCACCCGCCGGGCCTGAAATCTGAGCCTCCTGCAGGCCGGGCCAGGGCCCAGGGCTGCTTGCACCCACCCGGGCCCCGCAGCATGCTGGTCACCCCGCTTCCAGGTCGGAGGAAGGGACAGACTGATGGGGTGGGGTCCTCTGCCCATGACCAGCTCCCCAAAGCATGATGGGATGATGGGAGGCTGGGGGGGCGCTGACCTTGAGATTGTCGGGGTGCTTGTGTGTCCACGCGAGCAGCATGGCGGCGAAGAGGTCCCCGGTGCCCACGAAGACGGCGTCCACCTTGCGCATCTCCATGCGGATACGCTGTGTCACCGTGGAGCCGTCAGGCCTCCCTGGAGGCGACAGGAGGAGCTGCTTAGCGGGCTCCAAGCTGCCCGGCCCCTCGCCTCCCACAGGGATGGGGGCCGCAGAGCTTGGGGGCCTTGGCCAAGCACACATGGTGCCCCTGCCACCCCCATTCCAGTGGAGATACCTATAAACTGGAACCACGGACGTCACCAGGATGGCCTTGGGGACACACGACAGCTCACCAAGGACCGCAGTACTGAGTGCGTGTACTGCCTGGCTGCGTGTACACACTTGCTGGGGCCACGGTGAGCCCCGTGTGACCTAGCTTCTGTGTCACTACGACACCATTCAGAAGATGAATGTGGGGGCATCTGGCTCTGAGTGGAAACCCCCGCTCCCTGGGGTCGGGCTGGACGGCTCAGGGGCCCGAGGACGCCTGCAGCCCCACGCCATCTTGGTGCCGCAGTGCAGCAGACACCTGAACACTCGGCCTTCCCAGTGCCCGCCACACAGAACCCGTCCCGCACCTGCCTCAGCCTGACCTTCCTCAGAGCCAGCAGGAGCTCTGGAAATTAACCACTGAGTAAGATGCAATCTTCCTCTACTGAGGAAAAACCTTTTTTTCACTGTAGGAGATTAAGCACAGGACCTTTGCCTTTAGCTACATCCCTGCTCCTTTTAAAATTTTTTTATTTGGAGATAGGGTCTCCCTAAGTTGCGAAGCTGTCCAGGCTAGAACTTGTGATCCTCCCGCCTCAGCCTCCCAGAGTGCTCGGATTACAGGTGACTGACGCCTAAAGGTGGGCTGCGTGAGGGCCAGCTGGGGCACTCACGTGTCCTCTGGCTGCCCAGCGCAATCAGGTAGTCGCTGCCCCTAGGGGAGGGCAGGTCGGAGCTGGTGATGACCACAGTGTCAGGGCCCATGGAGTGCAGCACGTCCATCACCTGGCAGGCAGGGGTGGTGCAGAGCGCCGGTCGGGAGGAGTCCAAGTTGGAGGAAGCCCGGGAAGTCACCCCCCTCACTGCACCTGGCGCTGAGGACTACAGCCACAGCTGGGGCCCTGCCTGCTGCTGGGGGCTGGGAACAGGAAGGGGTGGGGGAACCCAGGGCCGTGGGCCGGAGCAGCGGGGCCTCCCACACCAGGCGCCGGCAAGGAGCCAGGGGGACGGCCCGACCCCAGCGACCTGGAGCCAGCCCCTCTCCAAGCTGGCCACGCCCTCTTCACTATGTGATGTCCCAGCCCTTCTTCATTGCCTAGGCTGGCAATCCTTACACTTGCGACACTCCTGCCTCAACCTCCCCGGGTGCTGTGTGACAGGGGTGTGCCCCCACGCCTGGCTCTTGGCTGGCTTCTCTGACCTCATGGAAGTTCCTGTCCTCGCCAAAGCTGCCTCTGGCTGTGCTTGTGTGGACCACACTGGGTCAACCCTGCCACACACAACACGCCTGGGCACCATGCGCATGTGTGTCACCCTCGGCACCCACTACACGCTGGCCATGGCACATGCACGCTCACACCCAGTCTACGCACACAGCACTGCACAGGCTGCGAGCCCCCAGTGCCATGCCAGCCGGAGCCTGCCCAGGGCCCGGGGCAGCACACGTGTCTCCCAAGACAGTCACACTGGGTGAGGCGGCCTGCGACAGACAAGGACCAGAGGGCACAGCACCAACAACTGGGGGCAGGAAGGACCCCTGTCCCCTACCCGCCCCACTCCAGGCGGGGTGCTCACCGCCAGCGCCTCCTCCTGGCTGCGGATCTTCCTGCCGCTCAGCAACCTGGAATGCAGGCATGCAGGGCCGTGTGAAGCTGGGCCACCTCGGCGTCCTGGCCTCAGGAGCCGGGGCCGTTGTGATGTGTGTGAGGGGTCAGGAGCAGAGTGCGGCTTTCATCCGCCAGGGCCTGGGCAGGCCGGACTGACCACAGCGAGGCCCAGTACCCGGCGACCCACAGCACCAGCCCGGGTGACGGCGCAGAGGTACTCTGAGAGCTGCAGCAGCCCGCGCATTCCCGGGAGCCCGCAGGCTCAGGACCCTCCAGGTGAGACGACACCCTGCCCCCCGCGGGTGGGCCCAGGTCAGGGAACCTCAGCTGCTGGCAGGGAGCCCAGGGGCCACATCGGTAGGTGAATCAGGGGCCGTGGGGCCCCAGCTCATGGCCCAAGGACACAGGGCACCCCCAGCACTGGGTGACAGGCAGTCTCTGGTTCTCAGTAAGTCAGGGCCGCCCAAAAAGGTGGGGGCTGACTTCTTCCTCTGAAGCCCCAGAGAGACCTGGGTGTCCTGCCTGCCCCTGTGCCCCCAAAGCAGCGGGTCGCCGAGGAAGACACTGCGGGGGGGTGGGCAGGGTCCCGAGGGAGCTCGGTGAGCGCACGCTGTCCGCCAGGCTGGGTCCCTCCGCCCCCATGACTCGGCCACCCCGAGCCAGGTGAGCAGACCCCCAGGCCCCGGACCCGAGCAGCCTGGGGGTCGCAGCCAGGTCCCTCCAGGGGCGCCCTGTACTTACTCGGCTTCGAACTGGTTGGGGGTTATGATGTCCGCCACCGGCACCACCTTTTCTCGGTACACGGGAAGGAGGTCCTCGGGGACGTACTGCGGCACGGGACAGGGTGCTCATCATGCCAGAAGGAGGCAGCAGGGCTGGCGCCCCATACACCACCTCCAGCCCGGCCCCAGGACCCAGCACAGCGGCGGGGACAGACAGTCACCTGCACGTGGGGTGCCTGGGTGTCCCAAAGGCAGGGCTGGGCCCTGGGTGGGGAGTGGGGGTGGCTGGTGTGGGGTGAGAACGTGGGGCCACGGGCCACCTGGCTCGGGGAGCTCTCGGGTGTCTCCCCCCGACCTTTACTGTGCTGTGAACGACGTGCTCAAGACCAGGTCCCCCACAATTGCACAAGCTTTCTTGGCTACCAGGTTTCTTGAGAAGGACCCCAAGCCCCAGCCCTGTGTTGGGTCTGTGGGCACCAGCCGAAGGGTATCCCCAGTTCCTCCTGGGGCTCTGAGCCCCCACGGCTGCAGATTTCCCGCTGACTGAACCTAACAGTGGTGTCTACCCCGACCTCGGCTTGGGAGGAAATCACAGCCTGAACCCACCCAGGAGGTCCCATCCACTGAGCCGGACAGGTGTCTCCTGGGCCAGCCGAGACTGCCTTGGGCAGCTGCGAAAGGACATGGGAGGTGGGGAGCAGACCGGTGCATGGGACCCCCAGGGACATCCGCCTCTCCTGGCCTCACCACTGACCACTGACCACAGACCCTGGCCAGGCGTGCCCAGTCCCGGTGTACACCATGCCCTCCCGCTGCACTCACGCACCCACAGTGACTGGCAGACAGACCAGACTGTGCCAGCACAGGTCCATGTGACGGGGCCTGGCTTAAGCAGCTGAATGGAGCCGGCCCGTGGGCTCCGCCTGTCTCGGTGGCTGGAGGACAGGGCCCCGCAGGTGCCCGCCTGACCGCACGGCAGGGTGTGGGGCCACCACCTCTGCCTGTTCACCTACAGCTCGTGAGCTCAGAGAGGTTTCTGCACTTTCAATGATGGTGGAAAAAACCGGAACAAAACTATTTGGTGACAAAAGGGAGTTGCAGGAAATTCTAATTTGGGGCCCGCTGCCCCGAAGTAGGAGACAGCTGTGTTCGGTGGCCCCTGGGATGCACAACAGCCGCCCAGAGCGACGGCCCAGGGTCCCTGCCACTTGCCGGGGCGGGGGGGGGCGGGGGAGGGCCTGGACACGCCCGCGCGCCCGCGCACTCACCATGCGGCCCTCGCCGTCCCACTTGTCGCCCATCACGGGATCGCACACTGTGGAGACAGCGCTGTTAGCGTGCGGCTCGGCCCCGCCTTCCCGAGGCTCGGGCCACCGGCCGGGGCACACTCAAAGGCGGTGACAGCCGCAGCCAGCGGGGCAGCCCCAGCACACCCCGGAGGCCGGGCCTGAAGTGGGCTGCCCATGGGCCCCGCTGCAGAGCAAGGCTGCTGGGAGCACACAGACGGGGGTGCCACCCCTCGCCCGCCCCAGGGCCCCTGCGGCCCAGCCCAGCACCCACCGTACACGAGCCGTGAGTTCTGCTGCTTCAGCTCCTGCACGATGTCCACCACCATGGACAGGAAGGATGCGTCCCTCGTGTACCCTTTGGGGGAACCAGCGATGGTCTGAGATAGGTACTCGGCAGCAATAGCACCACCCAGGCCACCCTCCACGGGCCAGCGGGGATAGCCTGAGACCCAGGCCTAGGTCAGCACGAGGTCCCGCAGTCGGGGGTTACCACACACTTCCCAAACAAGCAGGAAGGCTTTGGTTTTTTGGCAGTGGGGGTTGACAGGGTCTCACTAAGTTGTAAGATGCCCTAGCTGGCTTGAACTTGCAATCCTCCTGCCTCAGCCTCCCAGCATGCTGGGATAACAGGTGCATACCACTGCATCTGGTCCCATGAAGTTTTAAATGAACGAGCCCATTGGTGATAGGTGGACGACTACAATTTTTCCTTTTTCTCTATTTGCCATTTGCAATAATAAGCACACAGCACTTTTAACCAAGTGTAAAAAGACAGCATTTTCAGATGGGAACTTGACAAGTGAAACTCTGGCTCTGGGGCAGCGTTCTGACACCCGCCCCTCCCAGGACATCGGACGCCCTTGGCCAGAGCCCTGCCCCACACGGCAGGCCCCCCAGACCACCGGGGTGTGAGAGCGGTCAGGCAAGCCGGGGCCTTACCCGTGAGCACGTAGTCATACTTGTTCACGCCGTTGAGCTTCAGGCCTTCGTACAGCTCCTGGAGCTCACTGGAGTTCAGCACCTGGCCGCTCCAGTGCGCGTAGCCTGCAGGGAGCGGACCACAGGCTGGGAGGCCACGTCAGGGCTGGTACAAGCCATGGTCTTCCCTCCTGTGACCTTAATCAGTGCTTCAGGGACAAAGCCAGCACCTCCGCCAAGTCCTTCTGCACTGACACCCAGGAAGCAGCCCCCAAATGTGGCCACCACGGACCTGGCCCAAAGACACACGCAGCAGCATGGTGCCGCGCTCCCACGGGGGCTGTTGGGGGCTTGTGTCACCCTGCCACAAGCTGCACAGCCCCCCGGGGCAGCTCTGAGACCCCAGCCTCACTCCCGAGCAGATGCATGCCCAAGCAAGGCCCACGGGGTGGAGCTGCAGGTGACAGCCCAAGCCCTGCCCCAAAGAGCCAAGGCCACCTCAGGGGCCCCAGGGTGGACGGAGGAGGGTGGAGGGGGCAGGGCCTCGAAAGAATAACAAGGTGTCTGGGAGACAGCCCCACCCTTCCGTCACGCCTCACCTGTGTGGTTGGAAAACTGGACGGAGTTCACTGCGTCGATCTCAAACCCGAGGACCTGTGAGACACAGCAGGGTGTGGTGTGAGAGGCTGCGGGGTCCCACGAGCCCCGCTGGAGGCCGATGGCAGCCTGCTGCCCACTCGTAGGAACGGAGCAACCAGGCCAGCCTGTGTGGAAGTCACTGGTGTGGTGACGGGAGGCCCCCAAGCCAGGCTGATGGGCTTCTTCCCACCCTTAGGGAACACACAGGTGCAGCCAGCCGAGAGCCAGAGGTGCCCACCCAGTGCAGCGACGCTCAGGGACCACCGGGGCAGCATTCCATGAGATGCAGTATCCGGGCTCAGATGGTGCAGGGGATGGGGCTCTCTGTGGGGAGACTGTGGGTTTCTGCCCAGCCCCCAGAGGCCACTCCTCCTGAGCTCAGCATCCCTCTGCGTCTGCCGGGGAGGGAAGGCTCTGCAGGGGCCAGGCACCCTCCCCACAGTCATAGCCAGGCCACTCCCATGCTCCCAGCAAGGGGCGCTGCCAGGACACCTGGGTCACACAGGGACTGTCTGGTCAGGGACCTGCAGACATTAGCATGCTCACTCCTGGAGCACGGAAAAGCTCTCTGGAGTAAACTGGAAGCTACGGGTCTCGAGTTCATGCGGAGCTGGCACTGAGTTAAAACGCTAATTTTCAAAATGTCTTCCTGAGCGGAAGGAAAAGGGCGGCATCTAAGGGGCAGATGTCCCCGTGCCACCCTGGTGTGAGAACTTAGTCGGGACGAGCCACTCTCTCCCCACGAGCCCAGTCCCGGAGGGGTGAGCAGCAGACGCAGGACCAGGACACACCTCCACCACCCCCCACTTCGGCCTGGCCTCACCAGGTCCTGCCAGCCCCGCTGGGCTCGTCCACACGGAGCCAGGACAACCCTGCCACTTGGTCCCCAGCACCCGTGTCCACTGTGTCACTCCCTGGAGCCGACTGGCACAGAAGCGAGGCCTCGGGCCAGGTCCCCCGAGCGGTGTGGGGGATGAGCCAGGGTCCCCCCCTGAGCGGTGGGGGGATGAGCCAGGGTCCTGTGGGGAGGAGGTACCACAGGAAGAGCGGGTGCAGCGCACCCTAGGGGGACCTCACCGGAGCCCAGCACAACGCAGGACCTGCCATGCAGCATGACCTCACTTGGTTTCTGGAGTCGGGGTCCCAACGAGGGTGCCAGACCCACTGTTGGCTTGCACGTAGCCACATGGGCCACAACACAGAGAGCTTCCGGCCCGTCCCCACATGCTGAGGCCTCAGGGCTGCGGCCAGGAGTCTGCTGGGACCTGGGACGTGGCCAGGCTGCAAGGTCCACACTGCGCCCTAGGGCAGCATGAACGGCCACCACTCCTGCCTGCCTGGGCCACCGCAGAGCCACTGTCCCCTCCCTTCCTCAAAGCTCACCCGCACCGCTCCCTCTCAGCTGCTCACAAGCCTTGCCCCGCTGTGATGGTGCCAGTTGTCCCCAGCCCTCCCCAGGGGCCCAGACTCCCAGGCAAGTCTCAGAGCTGCCCACAGCTGCTGCAGCAGAGCCTGGCCACCTGTGTCGCACACTGCAGGTGCCACCAAGGGGTTGTGGCTGGGGCAGTTGGGGACCCAGGCCTCAGAAGAGTCATCCCAAGGGCCAATCAGCCTGTCCCTGCAGATCCAGAGGAGCTGGGACACCCAGGCAGGTGGGACAGAGGCCAGGAGTGTGGACACACTCTACCCAGCTGTCACCTCGTCCGGGTAAACGTGGCACACAGAACCCCAGAACAGGAGAGACAGAGCGAGAGGCAGGGTATGAGGGACATGGAGTGAGGGTGAGAGAGAAGCAGAGCTGGGCGGGGCGGGTGGATGGACAGACCAACAGGTGGTGAAGAGTGGCTGCCCCCAAGGGCTGGGAGCCCAGATGCTCTTCACCCCTGCTTCTCAGCGTGGGCCAACCGTGGAGGAGCACGCCTTGCATTCACTCAGGCCGGTCTAAAATGTCTAAGCCAGCATTATTGCTAAAGCAATGCAGCAAGATGAGCAATCTCGCTCCCCAGCAGGCTAGCGGTGACGCTCTACCAAGGCGCCTGCCGGATTCTGCGGGCGGCTCTGGCTGGCTCAGCGGCGGGGCTGCAGCCGCCCACGTCTCTACTCAGCTCTGATGACGGGGACTGGAGCCACGAGGACACCAGCCCTGACACCCCGCCAGGAGCCTCTGCTGGCTGCCGCGACGTGCAGATGATTAATCCTGAGCGGGAAGCTGCTATTTTCTGCTTGCGGAAGACAGCACGGAGCTGCTGGGCAGGCGTCTCCATTCCAACATCACCATTCAATCCCTTATTAACGGGTGTCGCCTGCCGCTTCCAGCACCCCCAGGGCCGCCTCTCAACCGGACCTGCGGACGCGGCCACACTCAGGAGGACCCGGTCCAGCTCCCCCCGGAAACTCAAACCCACCCTGCGCAGGGAATGCCGCTGCTGCCCAGCAGGGGCTCCAGGCTAGGCAACTGCCCCAGGGCAGGGAAGGAGAAGCCCGCCCTTTCCCCTCCCCAGGCAGAGCCGCCCGGCACAGCCTGAGGCAGGCGAGGGCGCCACACGCCACGCTCGCTGCCACCTGTGTGGGGGACAGGCCCGAGTCGGACACTGTCATGTCCTTTGTGTGTCATTTTACACGGGGACAGACCAAGTGGCTGATGGGCCTGCCCTGGGGGCAGTCACCTGGCTTCACAGGAAACCCCAGGCCCCGGGGACTGAGGAAGGCCGCCACGTGGCCCCTCTCTGTAGCCAAACTGTGACCTCTTCCCAGGACACCGCGCAGCCCTTGGGGACAGAGGTGACCCACGAGCTCTGACATGGAGAGGCCCCAGTGACTGGCCCCAGTGACCGGCCTCATGAGATGAGGACAATGCGCACCCAGGTCTAACCCAGCCGTCGCCCCAGAAAGCTCACAGTTCTTCTCATGCCTAAAGCAGGCCCGGGGCCTCCTCACCTGCACCCCTGAGACGACACTGTGTCCTTCAGGGAGGCTCCAGCCCACCTCCTCCCCAGGGAACCCTCCCCACCCCACACCAGCTCCAAACGTCCACCAGGGGTCAGGCAAAGTACAAACAGCTGCTGCCTGCCTGTGATCCCAGCACTGGAAGCTGAGGCAGGAGGATCACGTGCTTAAGTCCAGCCTTGATTACACAGAAACACAGAGAGACAGACAATCATTTTCAGAGAAAGGAAGAGGAAGAGCTGGCCGGGGCAAGGGGAAGACCTGGGCAGAAGACCAGGGCAGCCTGCAGATGCCCCATGCACCTGCAACAGACCTGTCCCGCGACCAGGGTCACCGGGAGCCCCATCACCAGCCTGGCCAGCCCGCCACATGTGTTTGCCCCACCCAACCCACACTACGTCCCTTAAGCCTCTGAGGTTCACTGTGGCTCACAAGGGGGAGCCTAGAGCTTGCCACGTGTCCACAACCAGAGGCCGACACCCCTACAGCCCCGCCGTTCTGTGGGCTCACACTGCTGCACCTGACTTTGTGAACTCTGGAAAGCTCTGCACCAGCTGAGCATGATGGCGCACACCTGTAATCCAGGCACTACGGAAGGCTGAGGCAGGACGACTTCGAGTTCCAGCCCAGCCTGGGCAACTTGGTGACTTAAGGAGACGCTGACTGGAAATAACAAAGACGGGCTGGGGACGAGCTGAGGCGAAGGCCCTGGGTTCGGCTGTGCCTTCCGCCTTCGTCAGCTCCCCCGGTAAACAGCTGTGAAGCAACACTGCAGCCAAAGTTTTCTGTCAATCACAGTGCAGAAAAATCAGTACGGGTCTTGAGAGGGAGGGAGGCAGGAAACAGCCATCCGCTGACACTGCACCGTGTGGGCGTTAGCCCTGCACGTTAGCACTCTCACGTTAGCCAGCCTGGTGGCTGTTAGCACTCTGCCCGGGGAAACCAGCAAAGGCGGGGCCCCGACTCTTTCGGCTCCAGTCCTCTGGGGGGGCCCTGTGACGATGTGTGTCCCACAGACAGGGGCCCCGTCCCTCCCCGGGGCCCTGTGGAAACCCTGCCTCCGGCCTCTCCAGCACAAGCTGACCCCGAGTGGGTGCTCAGGGCCGGCCCCCCCATGGATGTGGGAGAAACGTGGCACCCCGCAAGCCACGCCCCTGCCCAGCAGACCCACTCTGCTCTGACAGCCGGAGGTACGGAGCACCTATGGGCCTGTGACAGCCGGCCTCAGGTCTGGAGGGGGCGCTGAGAGGCCAGGTTCAGGCCACAGTCACGGGTGCCGGGGGCTGGGCACAGGGCCCACCTAATGACACAGGAAGCTACTGAGAGGACGGGGCTGGGGGCTGCAGCAACTGGGGACACTGCAGCCCCCCACGCTTGCTGTCTTAGACCAGCGCAACTCAGCCAAGCCGTGCTTCACGGACTCACCTCCAACAAGAGCGCTTTTATGTGGAGCAGACTGGACCCAGAGCCCATGCGCTGAGCCGCACCCCCAGCCCTTTCTAATTTTGAGAAAGGACCTCACTAAGTTAACTGCCCCGGCTGAGATGGAACCTATGATCCTCCTGCCTCAGCCTCCTCGAGTTCAGGACTCCGGGTGTGCATCACAATGCCCGGTTTCCAAGGGGAATGTCTCAGACACAGCCGTGTCCCTGAACCAACGCCCTCCCCGGCTCACCCCCCACCCAGGTCGCCGGACCCCCTGGGTGCACCTTGCCTCCACCCTCAGCCCTGGCACCACCTGTGGGTTTCGGCGCCCACTGCCAGGCAGGCCCTGCCCAGAGTCAGTACTGCGCAGGGAGTCTGCGGGGCCACACTGCACAGCCCCCAGGAAAGGGGTCACAGGCAGGGCTCCCCGTAGCACCCAGGGCAACAAAGGGCTCCTCGGGCTCCACAGCACCCCGCTGACACCACCTCGTCCCACATCCACAGCTGCCTGTCACTCACAACTGGTTCAAGATCTGAGCGCTGGCACTGAGGCCTGCGGAGCTGTCTGGAGGTGGCCAGGGCGGCACTGTCCACCCCTGCAGCCACAGCGCCAACGCCACCTCCGCCCAACCCCACGGGGAAACCATGGGGTCTCATGCCCTATGTGACCAGGTCAGCAGGAGGGAGGTCCGCCAGGTGCCAACATCACTGGGGACCTCGCCCCGCACTGGAGGTCAGCACCTTGGGTGGCCCTGCCCTGCATACTGCCACGGCTCCCTCGGTCCCGCTGCCAATGAGCCCAGGTCCCCTGCACCATGGCCTGGCTGCTTTGCCAGGGTCCTCGTCAGGGAGGAGCTGACGCAGGTGAGGAACCCCGGCTTCCAGGCCAGGGCTCTGGGTACACATGATGGCCATCTGTCCTGTAGGTGACGGCACTCAGACCACCCAGATAATCCTGAGGTCTCCTCTTGAGATCCTGAACCTCGCTTTGTCTACAAAGTCCCTGCTCCAGGCAGACTGTCCCTGCTGGGGTCCAGCACGAGTCCCGAGGACCCTCACCGAGATCTAAAGGGGCCGCGCTGGGGCTCAGCAAAGGCTCAGAAGTTGGTGGTGAGCCATCCTTTGGGGAAGGGAAGGCTGTGATCCCCAAGCTGTCCGCGTGGCCGTGTTGAGTCCAGTGACATGTGTCCTTGCAAGGAGAGGGGACACAGGGGAGGAGGCCGCAGGACAGATGGCAGGTGCGAGGCATCTACACACCTGGGGTCCCCACGAGCAGATGCTCCTCCTGGGGAAGCGGGGGTCCCCAGGAGCAGGCGCTCCTCCAGGGCAGCAGGGCCATCTGCACTGACTCCAGACTTCCGTTCCTATTGCAAGCTGCCCAGTCTGCGGCATGCTGGCCCCTGCAAACTCAAAGGTGACCTGAGGCTCCTGGACGGAATTCTCACCACTCCAGGGAGCGACAGGGAAGGAGGGGCGTTTGGAGGTACGTGAGCGTCCCAGGCCCTCCACACAGAGCGGGGCTGTCGGGAGGCCACCAGTCCCCAGCCCTGGACAACTCTGAGGTGCCCTTCTTCCAAGAGAAAATGGACTGGGGGTGTCACAAAGCTGGCCAGAGTTCCAGCACCACAGTAAAAGAAGGGGGGAACAGTCCTGGGTGTCTGTTGGGGGCAATAGGCAGGAGGGCACCCCAACTTCAGCCACCCCTCCCTTTCCTTCCCCCCACCCTACAGTCTTGGGCAGAGTGGCAGGAAGTCTCCCCGCAGACAGGGTGGGGAGCAGGAAGGCCAGGTGCGAAGGCCAGGTGCGAAGGCCAGGCGCGCTGCAAACCCTGGATCACTCTGCCACGGCACCAGCACTGGTCACATGAACACACTCTGTTTGGCCGCTAAAGTCTGCCTTGGACTCCAGCCCAGAAACAAAAAGTCTAGAAGCAGGGTCAAGGTTTGCTCTCAACCAGAGCAGGTGGCTGCCTGAGGGAGCTCAGGAAAGGGGGCCGAGGGGCCAGCCGAAGGCCTCGGGAGGTGGGTTCCGGGCTGCCAGGGCATGCCGGCGGTTGGTGTTGGTGGGAGCTCCTGTCTGTGGCACCCCTATGACACCCCAACAGCAACCATCTGGTCTGCAAGGGAGGCTGCGAGTCCAGACCCAGGTCCCCAGCTGGTGTTTCAGGACCAGGGACACCGCCGCCCCCCCCCCCCCCTCGACTGCTGAGCCTGCCCAGGTCCCTGCCTGGCCCCAGAGGACACCTACCCCCTTTCCTGAGGTTTCTTTCCTCACATGCAACCACGTGGGCAGCACTCTGGACTCCAGAGGTGTGTGGCACTGACCAGAACGACGAACAGACCCACCCTCCTGGTCCCGTCTGGGAGGCGGGGCTCGAGGGAGTGCTGCCCCGTGGGCCTGCTGCCTCTGCCCCAAGGCCTGCAGGCTCCTCCGGCTGGTGCGCAGGGAGGCTGCAGCCGCCCCCAGCCCGGCCCATCTCTCCGCCTCCCCTGCCCAGGGCGCCCGGAGGGGACCCCGTGGAGCTCACAGGTAAAGGCGCTGAGAGCCCCTGTCGGAACAGCGGTCCTGGGAGGCTCCCGCAGGCGGCTGGCGGAGCCCCTCCCGGCGTGGGCGCTGAGGGCACAAGCCTGGGGGCTGGACAGCGGGGTCCTGCTCGGCCGTGGGGAGCACAGGAAGGAAGCGCTTGGCAGGGGCGGGGAGCGGGAGTCCGCCGACGGGGGAGAAGGAGGGGACGCGGCGGGGGACCCCTGCCAGGAGGGCGGCGCGGCTCAGGGCCCTCGCTCCAGCGCGGCC